TTTTTTCTAGTTCTATATGGAATATTCGTTTCTTTTTTCCATACAGTATATTTAAGGAAAGTGAAGATTTCTAAAAAAAAAAAAAAAAAAAAAATAATATATAGTGAACCAGTGAAATTTAGTGATTATTAATTTTAAACAGATGTCTTCCAAAATACTTTGAGTTTAACGGAGAAAAGAAGAAAAGAAGGTATGTCAAAGATTGAATTAAGTTTGGAAGAAACTTCAGTATATGAAAGTTCTTAATGATTTAATCCAATATATATTTTTAAAGAAATTGTTATTATTTTAATTTTTTAATTTCAAAATTTAAATCTATATTTTTTTAATATATAATGCGCTCTATTGAATTATTATATATATATATATATATATTATATTTAGAACATAATATATTCTAAATATAAGCTTCGTTTAAAATTTTTAATTTTGTAATTCTCGATTGAAGCCAATAAGATGGTTTCAATTTTAAATTCGTATTAAAACGCGCGCCTTATTTTGTGCGCTGTTTACAAACTGATGCATCAATCAGCGAATTTTATAAATACTTTTACAATATAAGTCTTTATCTTCGATCTGTAACTCGAGAATGAAACGTTATATCTTGATCGAACCAATAAAAAGGTAATATGATTAATGAATCGCGTTTTATTACATTCTAATCAATAGGTCGTTACAAAAAGAACAGTGCTGTATTTTCTTAATCCTATCAGTGAATATTCTGATGCAAATGTCACGAACGGTACTAATACCGATTTAACGTGAGAACGGACACTTGAAACTCAACAAGAAATCGCAGGATCAGTGATGAGGAAACATTGAAGACGATCAATTTACGAAGAAAGTATGTACTTATTGTATTTGCGTCTTTGATAATATTAATAAAATAATCTTTGTGATTATAGCAATATTTAGAAAAAGAATTAATAAAAAAACTCAGTTAATGTCAAATAACATATTGCTCGAGAATATTAAAAAATTAATATTTATGATATATTTTTGTAATTATATATTTCTTGAAATGTATGAGGAAAATCTTAGAGCGATTTTTTTATCTCAATATCTATATTTTAATAATTAAAAAATCACCGTATCTTTTAATAAAAAATAATCGATAAATATGTTTAATTAGAATAAAATGGGCTCGAAGATAGAATATGTAGAATCGTCACATATGTATGCAACGAATTACATTCGTAATTCGAAGGCAATTGGTGTTCTCTGGGGTATTTTCACCATATGCTACGCCATAATCGGAGTCGTAGCTTTTATCACTCCAGAATGGCTGGGTGACTTAGAACACGAGAATCCAGGAAGATTCGGTCTTTGGACTAGATGCAACTACGGTGGTAATGGTAAATTCATTTTTTTTTAATTTCAAGAATTTATATCGTAATATCATAATTTTTGTTGAATTTGTTGCAACTGGCATCGTTCTATCATTTCATTTCCTTCAGGTGAATTAGGTGAGGAATGTATAGGCAGATTGGACGATCTATCGACAATCGCGAATGTTCCTTTCAGAATAAGCACTATTCTAGTCGGCATCGCGGTCATAATCGCTTTATTGACGATTTGTGCGATGCTCCTGTTTTTCTTTTGCCAGAGTACAACGGTCTTTTATATCTGCGCCTGGATGCAAGTAGTTTCAGGTATTCCGCTTCTCTTATTGTTATTATTAATCGATCGTGATAATTGTAATCATTAGATCTAGCTAGATATTTTCCTTTTCTTTACTTTGTTCTTTTTCAGATTTTTTAAATTAACTTTTAAAAATTACCTAGAATCATTTATATAAAATTTATCTATTTATCATATTTATTTAAATTTATTCATAAAATTTCAATGATTGATATATATATATGATAAATCATTACTTATTTATTGCCGATTTAAAGTTAATTAAGTTTTTTTTATTGTCAATTTTTTTTTAGAATAAAAAGTCTCTACTTGCGAAATGCAATATAATAATGTTTAAAGTGGAGATGTTTTAAAAGGGAAATATAAAATAAACCATTATAACATATAATAGCTAGTTTACCTGTTGACTAATCTCCCTATAATTAACATACTCACAATTATTTCACAGAATTGTATTTTTATTGAATATTATTTTAGAATGAAATAATATTCTATTTGATTATTCACGTTTATTAATAATTTTTTTTGTTATTATATTATTTCATTATATTAATATTTAATATTTTAATTCTAATATTTATAATATAAAATAAATGAATTTTTAAATAAATTTTTTTTAGTATAATAGAAATAATAATAATTATTAAATTAATCAAATACGGATATGCTTCTAAAATGCTTATCTGCATGACGCTGACCTAATTCAAGAACGTTGACATGCTTAATTTATCCTATAAGTTACGCGATGCAGTAATAATATTTATGATTGGTTATTCAAAAACTTTATAATTTTACACTTTTTTTTATTTCATTAATTAATACGAATAAGATTATCATTTACAACAAAATAAAATAATAGGTTTTATTCATAAAATATATAAGCTAGATTCTAAATAAGAAAGTTTTTCATTCAAGATCATTTAATTTAATTAAATATTATAAAAATATAATATATATTTTTATTAAAAAATATATTATTTTATTTTTTATAATATATATTTATATAATATATATTTTATTTTTTAATTATTTTATTAAAGAATCAAATAAATTTTAAGAAAAAGTTTTGCACGTATTATCATCATTGATTAAAAATATTTACTAACAATCATGATTGCTTCGTATACGAATAGTGAAAGTTGGTTGAAATGTGAATCAGCTCTGAGTAGAAGGTAAGCATTATCATCTCAAAAATTGATTGTATAATACATACATATATATATATATGTATATATATATATATACATATGTAATCACATATATAATGTACAATGAATCGAAAATTTTCCATGTAATCATTATAATTTCTACTAGAATACTTCTATATAAATTTTATCTTTTATGTTTTACATATTCGAAAATATTTATGAAAATAGTGGTTCTTAGCAAATTTATATTCTTTTATATATCATTTAAAAACTACCATTTATTATCAATTAAAATTTTGATAATATTTTTTATTGTTGTTTTCAAATTAATAAATTTGATTTTTAGCACTTTATTATTCATCTTCTTTTGCATAAAAAGTGATTTTATTCTATGAAACGAGAAAAGTAAGACTCGTACCTTTCACTGTTGGCCTCTAACATAACATCCACGAAAAGAGATAGTTCATTGAAATGCCAACCATATTAATCATGTTCTTGTTCGACGAATTATAACTTCAAAAAAAAATAATTTGAATATAAATTATTTATAAATTTAACATAATTAGAAATTTATTTATTGTTAAATGTTTAAATCACATTTATAATCCTTATTCAAAAAATAATATTCTTTTCATTTTTTTAGCAATATCCATGGCTATCGGTGTTTGCATTTATCCATTAGGCTGGGATTCAGCGTTAATTCGAGCTGTCTGTGGTGCAACTGCATCCAGGTAGATGTTCTAATAAATAAATATCTGCTTATTTAATCTCTTATACAGTATGTTCTTCATAATTAATTTTCAATTTTTTAATTTCTCATTTTTATTATTTTAATTCTAATTAATATAACATCAAAATAGTAACATTAAAATGATTATTTTCTTACTAATTATAAATACAATGATAAATGATAAATGCAATTATTTTATTTTTCTTTCTTTCAGTTTTTCATTCAGAACGAATTATTATTTTGAATAAAATTTAGTAAAAAAGTTAATGTATTTTAATAATTATATTTAACAGATACAATCCAGGAGCTTGTGCAGTTAGATGGGCAATACCGTTAGCAGCGATTGCCGCTTTAGACGCTGCTACCTTGGCCGCGCTCGCTTTTATCCTTGCATCTAGACATGTCAGGCTTCAACCAGAACCGTTCAACAATGGTTCCTTATATAAAGGTATGGGTCTTTCTTTTATAAGAATTAAATTTCGACTGAAGTTTGTATAAATGAAATGACTTTAAAAATTATGATTATCATATTTATAAAATTGAAAAAATGAATTTGAAAGAAAAAATAATTTATAATTTCTTGCATCTATTTTTGATATATTTTTTTATTTTTTTTTTATACTCACTTTAAAAATTGTCATCATAATATTTCATAGACAATGGATTGTTCTATAAATATCTTTAAAATATTCTTTTCACTTTAGGCGAAGTAAATCCAGGATATGTAAATGAAGCACAGAGTGTTGCTGGTTCCCGAAAATCTCTCTCCTTACGACCAGTTCTTTTGGTCGCTCCGCCAGAACAAGATCGCTATAGTGAACTCTCCAGAGCAAAATCTCATTCACATCATAGCCTCTATACGCCAGCACCATCGCATCCAGCTCATACGATCTCAACGAATACTTTGAATCATTCTCAACATAATTTCCAATTGTAAATCTCTGAAGATAATATTATTGTACATAATTTATTATATTATGCTACAAGTATTTTTTTTTATTAAGATTATTTTGATTAAGATATGAGAAAATAGAAATATTGTAAATAATATCTGAGAATTATATCTTTCGTGTATTAATGTTTTTTTTCTTTTTTTTGTAATTTGATTTTATACAAATTATAATAATTCTATCCAATCATAAACTTTTAAAAAAATCTGAGAATTTATAATAATTCATATTTTTTTTGTTTTGTATATATGTTGACATAATGTTTAAAATTTGCTTTTGCAATATTGTATATTTTATGTGATTAAAATTCATTTTATATATATATATATATACAAAATATTTGGTAATTGGTATTATAATAAAAAAGTGATTTGATATAAAAATAAGACGATCTAATTTATATGTAAAATCACTTTCTTTCAGATTGTATCGCCAATTATCAAACATTTTATATGTATATATATATATATTGTATATTTGTTTCGAATAAATAATTGTAATTACCTATAAAACATTCATTATCTTATCTTAGGAACTTATAAAAACTAATACACTCTCTCTATCTTTCTTTTTATTATAAATAAGTAATATAAATTAGTTGTTTTACAGAAAGAGGAAAATCTTACATAATGTGCAAGTTATGTATAATAAATAAAAACACCAGAATGAATCAAGGATATTTTATAATTATTGCTATGCCTATTCTGTAAAAATGTTACTCTGTAATAAAAAAAATTTAATAAAGAATTATGTATTAATATCGCTTTTGTTCATTCGCGCAAGTCTAAAGCAAAGTGTTTTGCCGTACGGTAACTATGACTACGCTTCAGAAGGATAGTAATAATACGTATCAAACCTTTTATTGCGAAGAAATTCGCAAAAAATCAATTGAACGTGCTAAAAAGAACTCTTTGCTCTCATCATAATGAACGATAAAGATGACAGCGCTTGGGTCTTCGATTCTTTGATTGGTTTTCTTCAGGGTCCCATTTGGTCTGCGCCTCTCATTACTTTCATTGAAGAAAAATCGCTGAGTAAGTTGAAATATGTACGCAATAAATCATTTTATATCATCTATATTAATATTTATTTCTTAAAACTTTCTTAAAGATTCTCTTGAAGATGACATTATTCTTTCTATTATTTCTAGATTTATGGAAAATTGCAAAAAAGAATGTTATCGTTTATCATTTTATTCAAACATCTTACGAAAAATGAATCTTCTAATTTTTCAAAAGTGTTATCTTATACTTCATTCGACTTTTTTTTTGTTTTATTTTTTCATAGTATTCGAAGCAGATATCGAAGAAAATGATGAGTATCAAAAGATATATCAGGAGTACAAAAATCTGGTGGACTTATTGCTTGGTTGTTTTATGGAAGACATGGGGATCACTCCGGAACAATTCGAGTATGCTTGTACCGTAAACAAATATACAAAAATGCCTACAATACAATTTCAACAGGCGAGTTGAAAAGATTTCTTAAATAGAAGTTAAGAATGTAGAACATGTATTGATTTTGATACTTATTTCAGAATTTGTTCGAACAAATATGGGCGGCAAACGAGTATGAGATTTTTAAGAGAATGATGATACAAAAAAATCTGGAGCTTCAATTACAAGCTTTGAATATGATCGAGCAAAAGTATGGCCTCACACCTATATCCTTGATGTACGAAACAGATACATTGAATGAAGATCCTCTAGTCATGGAAGAATTAGTTCAGTAAGTCTTGTTATTCTCATCTATAAAAATAAAATAAATAACATATAAAATTAAAATGTTATAATTGATTTAAAATTATCAAAATAAAAATATATAGAAAACATGTATTGGAAAATGATTCGGAAGATCAAAATATATCATCAGAAACTTCGCTCATCAAAGAACACGAACGTTTGACAGTTAAATATAATAATGAAAGAATATTGTTATCAGAAGCTTTAAGAATATCACAAGAGAAAAAAGGAGATCCACAATCATCGTTCAAAGAAGTAAAAGAAGGAGAAGCAAAAAAAAGAGAAATTAAAGTAAAAAAAGAAAAAGAAGAGAAGGACGAGGAAGATAAAGAGAAAGAAAAAGATACTCATAAATTCCCTAAAACACTTCCTTTAGATCCTATATCTACAAATGAATCAAAATCAGACGAAAAAAATGTATTTATAATAATATTAATTATTTATATAGGAAAAATAAGTCAAATTCATTATGCTATTTATTATATTAATTTTTAGATATCAGAAGAAGATATAAAAAAAAGACAAGCTTACTTGAAGGCTAGACGCGATAAATTGGTAGCATTAAAAAAAGAAGCAAGAAGTCAACGATTGGAAATGAATTCGACAAGACCGAGTTCCGCAAGGATAATAGCGGAAGCAACAATCAAAGGGGAGCAGGAATTAAAATTACCAAAATCTTTAGATCCATCCATATTACAAGTACGCAAAGCACTCGCAGCTCGTCTTCAAACTGAAGTGGTGCGTAAGCAAACGAATTAATAATAACAATTCTTATAAGATGAAATTGGAACATATTTTATCGCGGTAAGAATATTCTTCCGAGAAATATTATACACAGCGACTAAATCACACTTTTTTTGTAGATTTTTTGTAGATTATTTAGCATAAAAACAGCAAAATTTTATAAGGTAACGTTCACAAACTTTGAATTAAGATAATCAATCTAAATAACAAAATGATTTATCATTATGTCTAAAACAAAACGAGTATAAGTTGTTTTTTTTTTGTATACAATTTCAAGTATTCATTACATCGGTTTGTTTTACTTTTGAGTTGAAATAAGTCTGATTTAGTATCATTACAGTTTGCATATATGTATATATTTCCGCTTATGAATACCGATAAAATGATAAATAGTCTTTTTAAGGTCACTTGCATTATTTTCTCTTATTCATTCGATGCGTATCTCATAATTATAATCATTGATATTAATTCGTGAGAGAAATTGAATAAAACACGAAAAAAATAAAAAGAAAAAGCATAGAATCTTTCTATAACAATTTGCATAAATTTTCGAGATGAGTGATATAAATAAATAAAAAACAAAAAAAATTTAGTGTTTCTCGTTTTTTACAAATTTTATAGAAAATTAACATCTGTAAATTTTTCAATTTTTATGTTATTTTTTTATGTATAATTAACTCTTCAAATGAAATTATATTTTTTATTTTATCGATGTAAAGAGAAGAGAATGCGAAGATAACACAAAAGTTGTGTAATACACAGCTTTTAATAAATGTTTTTAGAAAATTATAAATATTACACGCTGTAAAATTTGTTTTACATATAATTATCTAATAGCACAAATTGTATAAATCACAATTAGAAGATAAATAGAACTGAAAATCAATGATCATTATATTTATACAAAGAAATATCCTTTCTTTTTCTTATTCCTTGTGATTAAACATTGAGGTAAGTTATAATTCTGTTTATTGATCAGTTCTTTTAATTTTAGATTTTATTTAATTATTCTCCGCACTTCTACAACATACTTTTATTCTGTGTAACACACAATTATCATTCTCACTTCTTTCCTCTTTTAATTGTATGATTATATAGACAAAACTGATTTTGACAAAATACGAGTATTCTTTAATTTAAATAATAATAATGTAAATTTTATATTTATAAAACAAAATCAAAATATTTATGAATTTAAAATTTATTAAATTATATATCTTG